TGAAGCTGAGGCTCCAATACTTTGGCCATCTCATGAGAAGAGAAGACTCCCTGGAAAAGACCCTGATATTTGGGAAAGTGTGAAGACAAGAGGAGGAGGGGACGACAGAGGATGAGATGGTTGGACATCGAAGCAACCAACATGAATTTGCCTCAACTCCGGGAGGCAGTCAAAGACAGGAGGGCCTGGCATGCTCTGGTCCATGGGGTCACAAAAAGTCGGTCACGACTAAACGACTAAACAACAACAGCTGCAGTTACCAAGTATCATTGCTTTCTTTTGGCATCACAGAGCCGGAGACTGTGAGTTTGATTCTCCACTGTGCCTACTGCAAAGTAGAGCCAGCCTATGTGGCCTTGCACAGTGGTCCCCAACCTTGGGCCTCCAGATATTCTTGGACTACAGCTCCCAGAAGCCTTCACCACCACCTCTGCTGGCCAGGATTTCTGGGAGTTGAAGTCCAAGAACATCTGGAGGCCCAAGGTTGGGGACCACTGGCCTTGCAGACTGCCTGTTAAGATGCTGCTTTCTACTTTTTAAAAACTTCTTCTGGGTGGCTTTTGCAGCGTGGTATTGGGCTAGATGGTGGGATTATGTTTCTATGCTGTGATGGGTCTTGAAGGGTTTGTTTGTTTTTTGGTATGTGATTTCCCCCATTTCCAATGGGTCTTGCAGGGTTTGTTTGCTTTCTGCTTTGCTTTTTTGCATCTCTGAAGGGTCTTGCAAGGTTTATTTGCTCCCCCCCCCCGCCAGAACAGATTAATCACATTTCCGATGGGTCTTACAGTGGTTTTTTTGTTTTTGTTTTTGGTGGGGGGGGTTCTTCCACTGGAATCCAGAACAGATTATGCATTTCAATGCATTCCTATGAGAAATGGTGCTTTGACTTATGACCATTTCAGGTTACGACCAGAGTTTCGGAACCAATTAAGTTCATGAGTCCAGGCACCACTGTACTAAAAAATCATGAATGCCAATTTCATCTGTCATAAAATTCAAGTACACTTAATAAATCTTATTTTTAAGACTTCTATAGCACTTAGAGACAGCATTGTTATAATAAAAAGTGTACTTGCTTGCCTTTTGCAAGATGGCCAATAAATCAAACAAAGCATTTTAAAAATTCTGTACAAATTACAATGTACTGTGGCACCTTTATGACTAACTAGTTTCATTTGGTTTTAAGTTTTCATGGACCGCAGCCCACTTCATCACACACATGAAATACCATCTCATTTGGCATATACTGTAGATATAATCATGCTTGGATGAGTGAGGGAAAGAAGAGAAAGGAAAAGCAAACAGTACAAACACCTATAATTGTTTTAATAGTTTAATAGTGGTTATTAACAAACAGTATTTAATAGTAACACAGACATCCCAGCTGAGACTAAAATAGATATTCAAGAACAAAATTATGAAAAAAAAATCACATCAGATCATATTCCGTGAGGATCAGAGCTGGAACGGATATTGCAGCAATAGATCATGAACACCCAGTGACTTAAGATTCCTCACTAGATCTACTCTGGGCCTACTCAGCAATGGATCTACTCAGTAAATCTGGCTTCAGCCCATAAAGCTTATGGAATGGAACAAATTGTTATGAGCCAGGATTAGATTTGCAGTTTTTACAAGCATTAGGATGAAAGGGATTCTGTGCTATGAATCTGGAACATGTCTGGAATTGTTGAGAAACCCAGAACGGATGTCTGCCATGAGTAGCAGACATGGGGGAAAAGAAAACATGGGTTATATTCACAAAAAAATCTGGGTTGTCTCCAGAAAATTATTATAATGGTGCCAGTGAGGCCCATCACTACTGCATATGATGATATGCAGCAAAGCCTGAATAGGACACGAAGGGAAATGACTGTGTAACAGCTTTTCCAATGGGGCAAAACTAGAAAACAGATGCTGGGCGGTGACAGACACCATAGGGATTATGTGCAGACTGATGCAGGATTCAGCAGACAAAAATCGGGGTAAGTATGCAATGTGAAGAAAGTGGATAACATATATGGCTACACAACTCAGTGAGTTGGATACCTGACCATGGAACCAGAATCTGGGAGTTTCCCACTGTGCCTCGTTAGAGAAAAGCCAGCCTGTATAGCCTTGGGCAAGCTGTATAGTCCCAGAGCACCTCCAAAAGAAGAGTAAACCACGTCTATGCATTTTATATGCAGAAAGTCCTGAGAAGGGTCACCCTAAATTGAAATCAACCTGACAGCACATTATTAATTAAAACACTGAGCTAAACCAATTGATGCATGATAAATAATGCACAAAGTGCACAGTCAACATGAAGTCAGCATTTGGCCACTTCATATTCATTGATTAACACGATGTCCTATAGGGTCTCCAGTTCTATACACATCTATCTACCTGAGTACGTCACACTGGAGGAAGTTAGGCTGACTTCAGAATAAGCAAGTACGGGATTGTGTTTATTGCAGCAAAACTAAAACCAACTAGAAATGTCAGAAACTGGGGTGGGGGGGCAAAGAGGTTACTATTTGGTTTACTGTGCCATAGGCTTTCCTGAACTACTTGCGTCTTTAATACCAGATATATGAAGTCAAACTGTACCAGGGACTCTTACTTCAACACTGGCAATTGAGCCTTTCGCCATACCTAAAGGGACCAGGAAAGTCTGGGGGGGGGGGACCGGATAGGCCAAGAAGCAGAGGAGAGTTGAATGGGAAGTTGCCACTGATGTCACTGGCCTCTGAAGCAGCTGCCTCATGCAGACAAACAGGAGGAACAGCACTGGTCATGAAACCTTGTTGTCACAAAAGGTCTGTCCCTCTTTAGAGTGGCAAAAGATACTCCAGGTAAGTTATATTTAGAAGAGGGAAAATAAATACATCACACACAACCGGAAACAATTAAAAATTGTATGGGTGTGGGTGTGTGTGACACCTGACACTTGAAGATGAACCTACTATTTGTGATTCTTTCACAGGTCACGCACCCTTGAGAAAATGATGAAAGCCATGGCTTGTTTCCGTGTAAAAATTCATATAAACACGATTTTGCGCCCCCCCAATAAAGCCTTTAACCCCATATTGTGAGCCACCACCATCCCGCTACATTTAGCCTAGCGCTGCTTACTTCCTAGAAAACTTACTAGACGACCCTGTTTTACAAAATAAGGTCACCTGACGAGAATCACCTGCCTACAGGAGTTTCCCTCATCCCCACTCCTTGACTCGTCCGGGGCGCGCGGGAGACCCCTGGGGCGTTCAGAGCCCCCCCCAATGGTTGAGAGGGGGGGCTAGGGGTTGCCACTCCTTTGGGGGAAGGCGGGAGAGGCGCTACTCACTGTGGGGGTCGCTCTTCTCTCGGACTCCATCCACTCGGCCGTCGGGGTTGATTCTC